AACCATTTACACTTTTTTTTATCCATAGTAGCCACTACATCACAGTGGGCGAGGAAATGTATTGATATTATCAAGAAGCAAATCTCAGTCGACAATAGTTCTGCATGGCTATGGTTTACAATTAGCACTACCAGTACTAGATGTAACAGTGCTTTCTTCTGTCTGTAAAAACTGTGTCTTACATTGCCGCAGTTTCTTAGTAAATGTGCATATTACATCTGCACCAGTGCTTGTCTGAATAGTGCTAGATTGAGTAGAGGCAGCTGCAATCAGTTGCATTCGGACTTGCCCTTGCTTTAGTAAATTAGTTAGATGTGTGTATCTATTTTTAGCGAGTGTTTTGTTCTACCCATTATCGAAAGAGAAACAAATTAAATCGTCTCACTGCTCAGAAGCTTAGAGACACAAAACTAGATCAAACTTAGCAACGCGCTGAAACTAAGGGAATGTTTACTTCCGAAGCGAAACGACCAACCGTTAACTAGCTTCCGCCGTTGAATGCCAATGAAAAAAATTGAGGTAAAAAATTTGCATACCGGAAAAACCCGACTGAGTAAAATAAACAGCTTTATGACGTAGAAAAATAATCACATTAAAATGGGTATTTTGATTGGTCCTTTAATTTTAAAACAAATAAAGAAAGGAGGTCACGGCCTTTCCATTGATATAAAACACATTAGGTTTCCGCGAAGCCTAATAGTACTTTACTAGGTAAATGAAATGGCTATTTTTACCAAAAAATTAAACAAATGAACCAGGTTTTTCATAAATAAATACTGTTTTTAGGGTCATAACAATGTCATTTTTAGATTCAACGATGGTTGTTCTGTATAGAATTGATCAAGTAAAAGTGGGAAATCGATGATTTAGTGGATTTATGACGAAAAGTACACCCGCCCATACCCTTACATAGGCTATATATTTTGTGAGGTCGTAGACCGACCCTGGAGTGTAATAAAAAACTTTATTCCTGTCGGAAAAAACATTATGGTCGATACATTTGTTCAGATGCCGTATTTTCTTATATAAGCATAGCAACCGTTGGTAAAAATTGTAAAAAAAAAAACGACGTCAATCGTTCAATTTACAATGGAAGTAGATTATTAAAATAAATATTTTTCAAACTATTTTATACTATTTAAAACATAAACAGAAAATGACGAAGTATAGCATTATTTTCAGTAAACAAGTAAATTGTAAATTAAATTATGTATCCTAACCTAATTGTAAAAATTAATTTTGTAAGTCATTGTAATATAAGTTATGAGTTATACTGTTTAGGGAACCTCTGCAGTTTTATTACATTTCGAGTAATAAATTGCGATGTTCCCACCAATATCTCTGAAAACGGACTACAAATAACAAACAAACAACAACAACAATTTCTCTAAAATTAGCATTACTGTTTAAATGAAAGCACTCCACATATCAGCCAATCACTAATTAATTAAGCATTCAAATTCTCAAATGTTTTTAAAAACCTAAGCGAATCTAGGCAGTATGCCTAGTAAAAAATAATGTCAATACGGTTTGACACCGTCCCGGATGGCCATGAAGCTGTGGGGAGTTGATTAAAACAATGCAGGAAAGGGTGCTGGAAAAAATCTTTTTTTAATTTAGCAAGGGCGGCGCCACGGGAGGGTGCGATTTTTCTCTCTATACGGTTTATAAAAGATAAAAGTCAAAAGCGGTCTGACATCTTTCTTCCGAGTGCTATAAAACTTTAAGGATTTGATGAAAATACTCCAGGGATATGATTTGATATGAGCGGCGCCCAGGAGGGTGCGATTTCCGTCAATACAAAATGTTGTGCCCAGATTTCCAGAGCGGCTATATAACCACTTTGCTTCTGTTAACCGTGCGTCCTGCATAGCGGGTAAGGGGTACTACTGAATTCAGCGTTAAAACTTCGACAGGCGCCCCATAGATTGCACGATCCGAAGCGCCCCGAGTTCCCCTGCTAGCACTATAGCAAGGAAGTGTAATCGGGGGCTCCTTTGAGCGCCCTCTACGTCCCTGACACATATGTGGTCACTGAAGTATGTTCTACCTCATTATTTCAGTGAGTGATTAACGTACACTCAAGGTTTTCATGCGTTAGTGTAGGTAAATCCGTGTCCAAATATTTATGATACAATCGCAGGCATTGTTTACAATTAAATAACAAACTTTTTAGAAAACAAGGTAACGAGTCTAAGAAACTATGGATAGGTAACGCAGTGATGAAACCCTTCTTATATATTCCTTCAGACTTTCTTGTATCCCATGCGGCAACGCGCGGGGACGGGTATGTTAGAATAAAATAAATTCAGATGAAAGAGCAAAATATTAGATTTAGCGTGTTAGTGTGTGTGTGTGTATAAGTGTGTTTGTAGTTGCATGTTTGTATGTGTTGCTGTGTGTTATGTGTGTACGTGTGTGTGAGCGTTAGTGTGTTAGTGAGTGTGTGTGCGTGAGCGTGCGCAAGTGTGCGTGCGCGTCTTCGTCTCTGTATGCTAGTGTGTGTTTGTGTGTCTCTGTGTTCGTCTGTTCGTGTTTGTGTTTGTTTTTATTAATATGTGTGAAGGTGTTTTTTAGTATGTCACACTATGTATATAAGTTAGTGTGTTTAAGTATGTCACACTATGGGTGTATGTTAGTGTGTTAATGTGTGTGTATGTGTGTGTATGTGTATTTGTATATGTGTGTTTTTATGTGTTTGTGTGTGTAAATATATATGTGTAGATAAGTGTGTTAGTGTTTATAGTGAGTTAGTTTTTGTGTGTGGATTTTTTAGTGTGTGTTAGTGTATGTTCCGGTTCGTGGGTGTTAGTGTGTGTTGATGTGTATGTGTGTGTTTGTTGATGAGTACGTGTCAGTGTGTTCGTGTGTGTGTATGTGCTAGTGAGTGTTAATGTAGGTATGTGTGTTGGTGTGCTGCGTTTTCGTACGTTTCTGTGTGTGTTATTTTGTGTTAGTCTGTTAGTTTGTGATAGTGTGTAGTTGTAGGAGAGTGCGTTTTTGTATGTTTTCGTGTGTTAGTGTGTGTGTGTGTTAGTGAGTTAGTGTATGTGTGTGTTTGTGTGGGTGTGTTGTTGTCGTTCAGTGTGGTTAGTGTGTGTTACTGTGTGTGCGGTTGTGTTTGTAAGTATTCGTGTATTTGGGCGTGTAAGTGTGTGTGTGTGTTAATGTTTGTAACTATCAATGTGTTTATGTGTCTTAGTGTGTGAGTGTTAGTGTGTGTGTGTGTATTCGCATGTGTGTAAATGTGTTAGTGTGTGTGATTTAGTGTAATTGTATTAATGTGTATTAGATTGTGTGTGTGTGTTAATGTTTGTTAGAGTTAGTTTGTGTGTGTGTTTGTGTTAATATATTTGAAGGTATTAGTGTGTCTTGGTGTGTCTAAGTATGTGTGTTTGTTAGAGGGTGTAAATGTGTGTGGGTTTGTATATGTGTATGACTAAATATGTGTGTGTTTTTAGTGTGTCATTTAGTGTGTGTTTGATTGAATTTATTAGTGTGTTAGTTTTAGTGTGTTTTTATTTGTGTGTGTCTGCTGTGTGTGTTAGTGTGAGTGCATTACTGTGTGTGTGCGCGTATATGTGCGTGTGTGTATGTGTGTGCGCGCATATATGTGTATTAGTATATGTTTGTTAGTGTTTGTATTGTGTGTGTGTTGCATTTTTACCGCTGAATATCGTTTTACCCGTTACCAGCAATTCAGGACACACAATTGACGGATACTAAGTGCTAATATATCCGTTCTGGCATTCTGGGCCCCTAACTGTTTATTAATAAAAATAAGAACCTTTCCGATTTATTGTTTATTACTACTTAATATGTTAATGCCTCAGATAGATTTTAAAACTGAGGTTGCAGGACAAAGTCCCAAACAAAGAACTATGGAGAAAGACAAGGCAGGAGGCTATTACAATGCAAATAAGAAGAAGGAAGAGGCGCTCGGTGGGACACACACTGCGAAAGTCTCTCCCAAATGTGACACGCCAGGCGCTTGAGTGGAACCCCCAGGGAATGCGGAAGAGAAGGCGCCCAAGAGAGGCCTGGAGGTGGAGGCTTCTCGAAGAATAGACGCCACAAGAGATGTCTTAGGAGATTGCAAAATTAATAGCCGGGGATCCGACTGTTTAAAGAATGGCAATAAGTCATGGAAGTAGTGTGATCGTTAGCCTACCAGTCAAACTAAAGTTAATATTTTAAAAAATATTTTTCTACGCAACAGTGCGTGTTAGTTAATGTAGAACAATCACTGTTATTGTAGACATGATTTTTTTTACAAAAAGCCCCATCAAGGTGCGCGAAAAACGTAATTCATGAAAAAAAATGTATTGTTTTTTTGTGTTGGATTTCGGACCCGTAATCGGCTGCCTCCCCCCCCCCCATCGACCCCCCCCCCCCCACTTCCGCATTGCAGGTGTCTGGTAGTTCCGCCATTGCGGTAAACTGGGGAGGGAGTGGGGGATATTAACCATACCAGTCCATATTTTAAAATAAAGGTATACTCAACAAACTCGAAAAGCTTAATTGCAATCCGATAAAATATTTAATAATGCTTAAAAATATATAAACAGAATAACAGATAAATCAACCACACACACATACAGACGTATATAGGTAGAGAAACGTATTAAAAGCTCATTGTAAGCAGCATTACTGAATTATTCAAAGTCGAGGTTAAGAAATTAGACTGCTAACTAGCTGTACGGTCTAGTTGTCTACATCGAATTTGTGACACAGTAAGAAAAAGGGACTGGTAAAAAAGGCCACTTTCCAAGTTAGTGAGGGGGTGGCGTTTTTTCAACAACGTAAATATTTTGGTCTAAACGGAGGGGGATGGGGCGCAAAATTGATAGTTCGCCCGGGCGCCAGAACGGGTAGCTACGCCTCTGGCCGTGTGACTCAACAGATGACACATCAGCAACATTTTAGTTTTCCAGGATTCAGGTTAGAAATTTTTAAAAACAAATGCGTAAATGATATGAATAAATTACAAGTATACTTACAGATCAGTTGATGTTGTTTGACCAGCTTTTTGTTTTAAAAGGTTTGTCTCTCCTTTTTTTTTTTAACAGTGAGGATCAGCCTAAATCTTGGACTGTGGTGTGCACGCTATCAACGATGAGCTTGCGCGCCGACTGTGTGAGAGCTCCACTGACAATGAATTCATACCATTCAGTGTTGCCACGCCCTGGTAAACGAGTAGCCAATCGTATCATTACATCTTAACCAACCTTGCATCATTGTCGACGTGGCTGTTTCTCGCTGAATAACTCCATTAGACGTCATCCTCAAAGGCGTTGTGTTAAGGAGGGAACAGTCCCTATACCACAGAGCTACTAACAAAGCCTGTTTACGAAACGAAGTGTTGTGTACATATTATATGAGATAAAGAACATAAATAGTTTAAAATCATGTATGCTAAAAACTATACGAAAACCTTAGATACGACTTTCAGACAAGGAAGCGCAACAGCAGTTTCAAGAGATGGAAGGGAAGACTGAAAGAGGTTATTTCCAGACTTTATATATTATCTAGGAGTGTGGTTTTGTGGGTGTAAAGTAAAACATTCCTTGTATTAACATCCCACTCTAGAAAAAACCCTCAAGAGTAGAGCGGAAATAGAACACCATCTACTGATTTGAAGACAATGGAACAAATACAACATTATCGTCAAAGACTTATGCTTCTGATAGCAACGCTCAGTACCCAGTGGCATAACGATCCATTCCGGCGCCCGGGAACTTATAATTTGGCATCCCCATATATATATATATATAAATATATATATATATATATATATATATATATATATATATATATATATATATATATATATATATATATATATATATATATATATATATATATATATATATATATATGTATAATTATTACGGTGTATGATTTGTGTACCCCAGAACTATACTCGACACCAATTAAATTCCCCTGCGCTATTCTTTAAAAAAAGAATAAGGTCATACAAGAGACATACAATAGCAAATTATTGGAATACGACATGGATATTTCATTGACTGGTTGACTATGTAATGAAACAAGCTAGAGGAAACAAACTGCATTCCAACGGACACAACAGCTCGAAGTCTTGGATTTCGCAGATGTGCGTTGCCTTCTCGCACGTAGTCAACAACAAATGCAAAACAAATTATACTGGTTAAAAAAGCAGTAATAGCCGGTTTGATGATAGTGGCACGGCCTATGACGTTCCCATTAGAATCAGCAACGAAAATAACCGGGGTCTCCAGGCTGCTGCTTTATTCCCCTCCCCTCTTTAATCTCTCACTGGCGTTGCCTTCTCGCACATAGTCAACAACAAATGCAAAACAAATTATACTGGTTAAAGGAGCAGTAATAGCCGGTTTGATGATAGTGGCACGGCCTATGACGTTCCCATTAGAATCAGCAACGAAAATAACCGGGGTCTCCAGGCTGCTGCTTTATTCCCCTCCCCTCTTTAATCTCTCACTGGCGTTGCCTTCTCGCACATAGTCAACAACAAATGCAGAACAAATTATACTGGTTAAAAAAGCAGTAATAGCCGGTTTGATGATAGTGGCACGGCCTATGACGTTCCCATTAGAATCAGCAACGAAAATAACCGGGGTCTCCAGGCGGCTGCTTTATTCCCCTCCCCCCCCCCCCGCCCTCCCCTCTTTAATCCCTAAATCGCTGAGGATGTGTGTTCGTTTGTATTTGAGTTTGATTGCAAACATGTCTGAGTGCGTAGGTGTTTTTGGGTTTGTATTTGCTCTTGAATCTGTTGAATTAGGTATGAGTATTTTATTTGCTAGAAAAATATTTGCTTCTGTACTTAATCAAACAGGGATTAGACATGAAACACATTTTGTTGTAAGTAAAGCTCAGTCTCTATAAGACTATAAATCCTATTGCATTAGTTACACAGGAATGCACGTTATTGCATTTACATCACAAACTGGATTCAAAGGCAACACCTTAACATAACATTCTTTCTAACAATAAACTGGTTTATATGTAATGCTCACTGTCTCATTAGCAATGTAGCTATAAGCCAACCAGAGTTAAGTTATGAAAAGTATTGAAATTTAATAATAACACTGAACTGGAATTTATAAATTATGTTTTATTAAAACAAAATGGACGTTTTACTGTTATTGCGCATCAAACAAAACAAATACTATTTTCAAAGATTTACAAGCAACACTATAAGTAAATTATAAAATTATAAAACTCGTAAATCACTTGTTAATACTTCTATCAATTCTAAGATGGTTTGGTCTATATTTACTTGATAACCTGGGTATAGCAGTCGTATATTACGGCAATGGTTAGAACAGCTATACCAGCCGTTCATTTCGTCACTAGTTAGAATAGCTATAACAGCTGCTCACTAATCCGATAGTGAACCTAGTTGTAAAGACCGTCCATTACTGCACTTTGTAAACTAATCATATTCTATGGCACTTGTTAGAATAGTTATAACGACCGTCAACTTCGTCACTAATTCTACAGAGAACCGTGTTGTACAGATCGTCCATTACGGCACTTTTGAAACTAGACATATCGGCCGTCTACTACGTCACTGTTCAAACTAGCAATGACGGCCGTCTACTACGTCACTAGTGAACCTGGCATTCATGTGCTGTCCGCTACGTCACATTATAACCCTTTTTAAAATTGCCGTCCACTTCGTTAATTGCAAATTACAGTTAATAAATCTTCTTTGTAACAAGTAATATTGGATATAACATTAAGCAGAACATTCTACATTCCACATTTTTAATTAAACTACTGAAAAATTAATTAAAATTCCACGGTGAGAAAATTACGAAATGTGCAAGTATTACATTTACAAAGGTCTAGCCGGTCGATAAAGGATACGTGTCGTACTACTGTTGATATATTTTTAGTGTAAGCTTGACATACATAGGCGGATCGAAATGATGCGTAAGTGGGTGGCTTAGCCAGTGTTTCTTCCAGAATTTTTTCTCGGGGGGGGGGGGGGGGGGGAAGGGGCACTTGATATTTTCGGGGGGGGGGGGATCAATATTTTCAGGGAGGGTGGGGGGGACACTGTTAAAAGTATATATTTTCTATATAAATTCTATTTCGTTCGGGGGAGCGGTAGACTTTCTTCGTAAGAGATGCCTGGAAGAAACTCTGGGCTTAACGAGCCAACGTCCCCGGGTCTCGCCCGTTTTGGCCCATACAGACACACAGAGTAAGCAAGTGAAATAAAAACTTGGTTTTACAACTATTTTTTTTTTAAATTTTATTGTTCGTACTTTGTGCTAAACTGAGACATAAACAAATTTTTGGAGATAAATTCCAGCAGTTACCAAATGTATTCAGAAGTTTAACATCAACATAAAGACGCAAATTTTACATTGTCAGTACTTGACTGTTTTCCGTTTTTTCCCTTCAATTATTAATTTCAGGGTGTTTTGAAAAAGAATTGAGGGTTTTTTTTTGCAATTAAAACATCGATATCCAACTCTTGTTAATTTCAAAGACGGTTTTTTTTACTGAACTAGAAGCACCATCTCTACTTACAGAACTTGAAATAAGCAGACAAACTTAGTGAATACAGCAAGGAATTTGAACTCGAGACATTCGTATTAGTATTCTTATGCTCTACCAATTGACCTCTCTGTCCATTAGCATTCCAAATAGGTATTTTTTAATGAGTAAGAATACATTAGTTTATTGATAATACAGGATTTTTTTTTTAACATAGAGAGAAATAAAGAATAAGAGTCCCCACCAAAACGAGAGAACAGAGCCGCCTATGACATTATCAAAACAAACAATCGAAATTTGGCTTGTTCGGTCTACCTAACCTGACAACATCCGAACACGTCACGTGGTGCTTAGTCACTTAATTAACCTCGTCAACACGTCCCGTTTTCCTCGGTCTAGTCAAATACATGTAACCCGTAGTGAAACACATTTGACCCATTTACCGTCAACAGTCTAGGCGTACATCCCCCACCCTCCTCCCTCACACAAAAACACGTACATGTCGATTACAATTCTATTGGATTTTTTTGCCAATGTAAACAGTCATTTTTTTTTCTCAATCGTGCACACAATGACATAACGAAATTGAAATCAACTAGTTAGATTCAGTAGCGTTTTGTGTTTCTGGTATAACTTGTGTCGGCAGGCAGTGCCGCCGCCAGGTTATTTAGCGCCCTAGGCAAAACTTATTAAAACACCCCCCCCCCCCTCCCCCACCGGCAATTTTTTTTCGAGCCCCTATATTTTATATTTATAAATATACATTATATATATATATATATATATATATATATATATATATATATATATATATATATATATATGTATATATATATATATTAGAAGACTGTCTCAATAAATTCTATATTAAATCATTTCATTGTAAAGTATGTCCATCATGAGACAAAAACCCCACAGAGAAAGGCTCGAGCTCATTTCTGGCCTCGAGTAATCAAGTTTTAAAACTTCTTAAATACGCCCAACGAAAATTATGGAAAATAGTGTTTCTTCTTATTAGGCAAGTTGGCCAAAGACCATGAATCAATGAAACTTTATATTTGCAATGGTTTCCCGGGGTTTTGATTGTTGTTGTTGTTGCTTTTTTTTTTTTTTGCATTTATACTATTGATTTGGAATTGACTCCTTTTTACTTTCACATATATACGAAGTATAGAGAAAGTCTTGTAATCGTGCAAAAAAAAAATTGAGATTTTTGCAAATCTCGACGTTTTAGGGCTCCCTGAGTCGGAAAAACATATTTTTGCAATCTTGTCCGTATTCTGTGTGTATGTGTGTCTGTGTGTGTGTGTGTGTAAACAGGATAAATTTTAAATATAAGTATTATATCAAAATCGTAGATCTGTATCAACTTTTGAGCGATTTCCAATAACCGGAAGTGGTACTTTTCCTACTTTGACTGTTTCAAAAGCCTATAACTTGAATACTATTTCACATAGATAAATGAAATTTCACATGTAAGTAAAAGATTTAATTCTCTACTTTCTATCAAATTTTGGGTAATTTCCTTTGACCGGAAATACTAATTTACGCTATTTCTGATATCTCAAAAAACTAATGTAAATTTATAAAGTACTAATAATATTGCGCACTATTATTAG